CCGAGATAAAAATAAATAAACAATTAATAGTTGAGGTGTATTTTGTAAGATGATTTGTGATTTTCTGATGAAAAACTCACAATGGTCACACATTTGAGATTTCAGATATGAAACTAAAAAAAATAAGATATGTTTAAGACCTTTCACTCATTTAAAATGTATAACTAGATTATAATCAAGTGCGACTCAACTTTGGTTGAAGGCACTTGTATGTTAACACTACTCTTGATGGAGCTAAAGTCGATAAAGGGTCTATAACTTAGAACTGAAAATATACTTCGTATTTAGGTTAAAATGTACTCCTTATTTTTTTAAATATATATTTGAAGAATTATTGACTTTACTAGTAACTTTGTTTTCATAATTCCTACATACAAATTGCATTCATATGAACATGTTTATTAAACTTGAATTAATGAGATGTTCTTGATTTCAGAAACTACTGGATAGCCCATATGACTTATGTGTTATGTCTAGCTCATGGGCCATTTGAAGCTATGGGCTGCAAAAGCAGAACGGCCCACGAGACCACTTACACTCCAATTCGAGAAGGGAAAACTAAGCAAATATTCATAAAAACAAAATAATTACAAATATATATCATTTATACTCATACCCTATTAAATAATTATCCTATGTATTCCCAACTAATTTTGCTTAACTGATACTATATCAGTATCACATACTACACTGGTATCATTAAGACTGGTAATTTCGCTTAATTGATACTAAGTCAATACATATATAATATATTGGTATCATTGAGATTTCTTGTTCAGAAATTACTCATACGTCAATAAAACTATATTTATAATCTTATAGTTTTATCGACTTATGAGTAATTTCTTAACAAGAAACCTTAATGATACCATAGAAATATATATATACTCTTATAGTCTCATTGACTAATGAATAATTTCTAAACAAGAAACTTTAATGATACCACAACTATATACATATACTCTTATAGTATCATTGACTAATGTGTAAGATCCCGTACTTTTTCTCTATTCTTGCATAATATATGTGGCGTAGTATGACATGGTTATATGAGGTGTATATGACTTTGTATCGTACATTGGAGATTAAGATTGCAAATAGGTGGCAATATCAAGGAACTATGTTTTAGGTCAAAGGGACCCCTCAAACAAAGTTCATGATTAAGAAATGGCTCGGGTAGAACTTCGCCCATTTGAAAGGTTTAAATTGTCCCATACCTTGTGGATAAGCCTATGAGTGTAAAACATGCTAAGAATAGTGTGTTATGAGGTAATATAATGGTACAAGGGTCATATGTTAAGTTTTGAAGTCAAGAAAATTAGCGAAACTAAGGTCGGCAAAAGTTATCGAAGTTTCTCTAATAATATTTTCTTTAACTTTGGGTCAAATGTCTTGGATGTTTTCTCCCAATATATAAGGAGTTAGAAGGCCTATCACCCATTAAATTGAAGGCCTACAAGTCTAGTTTGCAACGCACAGAACCCCTATCCAACTGACATCGGAGTAAAACGTTATGAGGGTTTTACTACGGACTGTCGGGGCAGAATCCGGATCAGGTAAAAAATGTGGTATGTCGGCTTACTCAACGTTTTAAGCCCTGAAAACATTTCTTTTCACTTCCAAACCAGAAAGAAAGCTTAAGAGAGGGTTCCTATGGAGTTCTTGCATGATGAAGGTAAGTTTTTGGCGATTTCTACCATTAAAAGCTACCCCCGTGCCTAAAAATGTGATCTCTACACGTGGCAATCGTTTTCCCCTTCTATTAGCTGCGTTTAGAGCTAGTTTTTGAAGATATAAATTTGTAGTTATTGGTGTTTCTTCAAGGTTTACACTTGGTTAACTAAGGTAATCATCTTGGGTCTCTTTTATGATTGTTTTATGAAGTTCTACAGACGTTTCGTCAAGTTGAGGCCATTTGGCAAATCTGTCGATTTAAGATCAATTATGAATTGTTTATAGGTGCATACTAGTTGTATATATAGTGTTTGCGAAGCTTAGGACGTAAGGAACAACTTTTGTGAAGAAGCTACGGTCATTCGAGCATTCATTGGAAAGGTATGTTAAGGCTAAGCTACGTCCCTCATTTTAGTACCACTCTTCGGAAATTCCTAAAACGCCGAATGTGATGTTTCGCTATTCTCTTGCTAAAAAGACCTTCAGTGAAAGGCAGTGGGATCTCAGCTGGATTATTTTCATGATTCTGTTATTTTGATATTCCATTTGTTCGTATAAATAGAGTATTCGACATCTACATGTCATTTTATCGGTTTTTTTATTATATGTCCGCATGTATGAATTCTTATTCTTTTTTGGGTAATGTGACTTAAAATATCACGGGAGACCCTTATCACTTGTAACCAGCCCTCTTTCCCCACTAAAGTTATTATGAAAAATCTTTAAAGTAACTCACGATCTTCAAAACTCTCTAATATAACTTAAATGTTTGAACTATTAACACACTTGGTTTTTGAATACTTCTTTTATAAATTATCTAGGAACCAAATTAGGAACTAAGTAAATCACCTTAAACTTGTTATGAATAGCTGCAAGGTTAGGTTATCTTTCTAAAATTCGAGTTAACTTTTCAAGCTTATTTGGAGAACATATGAGTTCCACGAGATTGTTATATAATATACGAAGGTTATTATAGGGTTATGAGAACAAGACTACAAACATGCCAAGATTGGCAGCATAACAACAGTAACATATAGGTATTATAAATCCATGACATGACATGCTATGCATTCTACTCCTGAGCTATAATCAGGATGTATGGGGCCAATTGCCTATATTTATACGTAGAGACACAGATGGCCACAAGTTGGCGAATATGATGCCGGTTCGCTACCGGAAGGCACCACCATTGCTAGCATTTGGTTGGGTATGTCATGCATTTGCATTAATATATATATATATGTATTCACGACATACGATTATACGAGCATACCATGCATATTTAAATAGTAGAGGGCCAAATGTGAGACATGGAGATTATTTGAGTTTGAGTTTTAGTTTCAGGTGGTATCTTTATTACCCTTTTACAATAAATATTTATGATTCTACTTTCCGCTTTACATACCAATACATTTTTATTCGTACTGACGTCCTTTTGCATGGGGACGCTGCTTTTTGTTTCGTGCGAGCAGGTACAGGCAAGGACTCTAATCGACCCACCCGCTAGGATTCATGTTCAACTGTGAGTTGGTAAGCTCCATCTTGTCCTGGGGCTGGATGTTTACTTTTGTTGTACAGTTTGGGTAGATTCAGGGTCTTGTCTCGACAATGCTTATGTCACTCATAGAGGCAATTGTGGACACAATATTCTGGGTTTTCTTTTTGTCTATTTCAACCTCCAGCCAATAGTCTTGGCATGTATATATATGTGTGTGTAAGTAGGTATGTCTTCGGTTGTGGCCTCGTTGGCTAGCTAGTACATCTTTATTTTTTTGGCTTGTCTACTAATGTTTGTATGGTTTATTCTCATTCAAGTCATGACCTTCAGGGTCCAAGCTTCACTTTTTAGAGGTTGTGCTGCCCAATCTTTTTGTCTCACAGTTTGGTTTAGCTAGTATGTTTTAGTGGGTAACTCGATCTTATAGGGTATCGAGTGCCAGTTACTCCCACTATTTCGGGGTGTGACATAATGAGTAAATTTTGAACAAGAAACATTAGTGATACAACAATAATATACATATATTCTTATACCATCACCGACTAATGAGTAATTCATGAATAAGAAACCTTAATGATACCAATATAGTATATATATATTAATTTAGTGTCAGTTAAACGAAAATTATTTATCTTAATCTTGAATTACTTTGATTTGAGGTATGAACAAGTATTTATTTTGAGTTTTATGACCCATTTATATAGTTTTTTCATTCGAGAACCCAAGGTGTTTGAGCAAATAAGTTACTCCCTGCATCCTATTATCCTATATTAGATGGACATTTTTTATTTTATACGATTATTAAGAAATCATTAATAAATTGATCAATTTTACTATTATGTCCTTTATTCATACTCCCTCCGTTTAAGACAAAAAAAAGACTTTTTAATCTTGTGGTTCTAAATTAAAGTTATGTCAAATGTACCAAAATGCCCTTTAATCTTATGACCTTAAATATGTCACGTGGAAAGTTGAAGTTAAAGTGTTGCCAAAAGAGGAAATGAGTAATTCTTTTTGAAACTGAATAAAAAGGAAACCAAACGTCTCTTTTTGAAACGGCGTATTCATTAGCCTCTTGAAAATGAAAATTTTGGACCTTTAAAATTTATTCAAACTTCCAAGGTCACGTTAATTGTAAGGGTAAAAATGAAAAATATAATTAATTCTATACTGATTTAATAAGTGATCAACTAATATGAGACAAATATTTTTAGTAAAATGCTTGTCTAATATTGAACGGAGATAACATTTAATTTCGTATTAAGTATTATTCTCGATTTTGATAACGGTTCATAAATGGTCTTTAGTAATTTTTATTTTTTTTAAAATCCAGATTATAGGTTGAAGGTGAGAAATCATAAAGCGACATGATTACTGTGACATCCATTACAAATCAGTAGGATTTCATACTATATTCATAATTAAACTTGCTTATTAAGTTTGATGATAACTTACAAACCGTTGGACCTATTCAAGTTTGATGATAGTAAAAAAAAATGTTATTAACCTTTATATGCTTAATTATTACTTTGATTTTTTTCTGTAAACATAACATTTAATTTTATTTTTATAAGTAAGTTCTTAAACTGGTACTTTTTAATATCATGATATATATGAATAAATAAATAAAATAAAGACAAAAGTTATATTTTAATACTCCTATAGAGGGCATAAAAGTTTTATTTATTGCCGAAAAATAAATGTTTTCAGTAGTAGAAGGAAGTATCAGGAGTAGGCGAAGAACATTCCAGATGTCTTAATTGGACTAAAAAGACCATTTTGCCCATACTATTTTTCACACACGAAAATCCGGTTCAGTCGTTACCATCGTAAAACTAGAAAACTCCAGAAGCAAGTATTGCATTCCTACTTCATCGCTAATAGAAGGACCTAGAATTCTCATGCATTCATATATAAGCCCACAGCTCCCGTGCTATAGCACATCAAAAATCGCAACTCACAAGTCTTCTTTCTGAATTTACGATCAACTTCTCATTCATTCTCACTCGATCGGCACTTTTTTTTTTTTGGTTTTGTTGAGCTTTGAGCATCAATGGCGGATATGCAGATGGCTGAGGCAGAGACATTTGCTTTTCAGGCTGAGATTAACCAGTTGTTGAGTTTGATCATCAATACATTCTACAGTAACAAGGAGATTTTCCTTCGTGAACTCATTAGCAATTCTTCTGATGCATTGGACAAGATCCGGTTCGAGAGCTTGACGGATAAGAGCAAGCTCGATGCTCAGCCTGAACTCTTCATTCGCCTTGTTCCTGACAAGGTGAATAAAACTCTCTCCATTATTGACAGTGGTATCGGCATGACTAAAGCAGGTAATGTCATTTGCTTCTCACAATTTTATACATCGGTTTACTATATTCCATTACAGAGGTTTATCTGCTTGATTTTCGCTGTTACTGCATTTTTCTATATGGAGCTTTACCTGAAAAATCTGTAATGCATGATACAGGAGCGGATATAGCATATATTAGGTACAGGTTCAATTGAATCCATAAATTTCGAGGTTAAGCATAAATATATGTTTAAAATTACAATAATAAATAGTAGACAGGGACTCATGACTCTAAATTACTTGTGTAGTTATCTTTGTTGGCGTTGGAGATTAATGTGTTTTCCTTCATTTGGATTTGAATTTATAAATATGACTGTAAATCTTATATTATCTGTGTGTTTGAGTAGTTCACTAAATTAGGATTAGGTTTGTCTCTGAAAGTCGAAGAATTCTTAGGCCCATGTAATTCATGTTGTGTATGAAGTGATTCTATGGTTGAATTTTGGTAGGGTGGTTGTGTTTATATGTTGTAGAGATCTTACAGATATAGGCGAGAATGGTACTGATACCTCTGTTTTCCCTGTGGTTACACAGATCTGGTTAACAATCTGGGTACAATTGCGAGGTCCGGCACAAAGGAGTTCATGGAAGCTCTACAGGCTGGGGCTGATGTGAGCATGATTGGACAATTTGGTGTGGGTTTCTACTCTGCGTATCTCGTAGCAGAGAAGGTTATTGTAACCACCAAGCACAACGATGATGAGCAGTATATCTGGGAATCACAAGCCGGTGGTTCATTCACTGTTACAAGGGATGTTGATGGGGAGCAATTGGGCAGAGGAACTAAAATCACTCTCTTCCTCAAGGAAGACCAGGTAATTTCAAGTTCTAATGTCTGTTTTATTTGTGCACAGAAGAAATAAATAATAACCTACTTTCGGTAGCCGTACCAAATTGACTAGTAACTTCCATTTGGACTTTAAATTAAGATGTGCTCTTGAAAACTGTTGTTTGTTCTAGTTAATGCTCTTTTGTAGTTAAATTAATTTGGTTTGGTGCATATACGTACAATTAAGTTTTCTTAGGCGTTAATCAGTTGTTTGATTTTCTTTGTAATTAACTTGCATTGATACTTGCAGTTGGAGTACTTGGAGGAAAGGAGAATCAAAGACCTTGTGAAGAAGCATTCTGAATTCATTAGCTACCCAATTTACCTCTGGACAGAGAAGACAACTGAGAAGGAAATCAGTGATGATGAAGATGATGAACCCAAGAAAGAACAAGAGGGTGATATTGAGGAAGTGGATGAGGATAAAGAGAAGGAGAAAGGTAAGAAGAAGAAAATCAAGGAGGTTTCTCATGAGTGGCAGCTCATTAACAAGCAGAAACCTATCTGGTTGCGCAAACCAGAAGAAATCACAAAGGAGGAATATGCCGCTTTCTACAAGAGCCTGACCAATGATGGAGGAGCACCTTGCAGTCAAGCACTTCTCTGTTGAGGGGCAACTTGAATTCAAGGCAATCCTCTTTGTACCTAAGAGGGCTCCATTTGATCTATTTGACACCCGCAAGAAGATGAACAACATCAAACTTTATGTCAGGAGGGTGTTCACCATGGACAACTGTGAGGAACTTATCCCGGAGTACCTTGGATTCGTGAAGGGTGTTGTTGACTCTGATGATTTGCCCCTCAATATCTCCCGTGAGATGCTGCAGCAAAACAAGATTCTCAAGGTCATTAGGAAGAACCTCGTGAAGAAATGCATTGAGATGTTCAATGAGATTGCAGAGAACAAGGACGACTACAACAAATTCTACGAGGCTTTCTCAAAGAACTTGAAGTTGGGCATTCATGAAGATAGCCAGAACAGAGCTAAGTTGGCTGACCTTCTTCGATACCAGTCAACCAAGAGTGGTGATGAGCTGACAAGTTTGAAAGATTATGTAACCAGGATGAAGGAGGGTCAGAAAGACATCTACTACATCACTGGAGAGAGCAAAAAGGCAGTTGAAAACTCACCATTCTTGGAACGCCTAAAGAAGAAAGGATATGAAGTACTCTTCATGGTTGATGCCATTGATGAATATGCAATTGGGCAACTGAAGGAATATGATGGTAAGAAACTGGTTTCTGTTACAAAGGAGGGCCTGAAGCTTGATGATGAGAGTGAAGAAGAAAAGAAGAAAAAGGAAGAGAAAAAGCAGTCTTTTGAGAGCCTTTGCAAGGTCATCAAGGACATCCTTGGAGACAGAGTTGAGAAGGTTGTAGTCTCTGATAGAATTGTTGATTCTCCATGTTGCTTAGTGACAGGTGAGTATGGTTGGACAGCAAACATGGAGAGGATCATGAAAGCTCAAGCTTTGAAGGACAACAGTATGAGCTCTTACATGTCTAGCAAGAAGACAATGGAAATCAACCCTGATAATGGCATTATGGAGGAGTTGAGGAAGAGAGCTGAAGTTGACAAGAATGACAAGTCAGTGAAAGATCTTGTGTTGCTGCTGTTTGAGACAGCTCTGCTGACATCTGGTTTTAGTCTTGATGACCCAAATACTTTTGCTTCAAGAATTCACAGAATGCTGAAGTTGGGTTTGAGCATTGACGAAGAAGAGGAAGCTGGTGAGGATGTTGATGATATGCCTCCTCTAGAGGAAATGGGTGAGGAAAGCAAGATGGAGGAAGTGGACTAAGCACTTGGTGTCATCTCAATGCCGTTCATATCGAGATTCTAGATACCCTAAATAGTTGTTTTTTCTTTTTCTTTCTGTTGAATACTGTGTTTTGTCGAGTTAGTAGTGTCATGTGGTGTAAGCAAACCCATATAATAGTATCATTTTAGGATCGTACAAATTAAGGAGTGTCAATCTGTTTTGTGATATGCTAATCCCTTCGTTGGATAATTGTTTAATCCTCCACCTTAACATTCTCTTTCTCTTATGGTGTTATCCTGTCGTTCTAGCACTGTAAAGTGTCTTCATTGGTTAAACAACATTTACCTTTTTACAGAAACCTACTCGTCTGATCCTAGCTCTGCGCTTGTGGAGGGAGGGAGGGAGAACTATAAGATTATCATAAAACTGCAATGAAAGCAAAGCGCCTATTCACACATGTAATCACTTACTTGTCTTATTCTTTGTTACGATCAAGATCTACAATCAAATAGGCGCAGGAATCAGGTGAACGATGCTTAAGAGAGCAAATGAGACCTCCCTCACTGAATTTTGTTGATCTCTCGCTGGACTCTGATTCAGAAAATGTGAAGAGTGCAAATTTGCTAACCAATTTGCTGAAACTGTAGCTGTGGGATTTCAAAATACATCAGCAGGGGTATTTGAATTCTTTGTCCACTCTTTTCGGAATAGCGAATATATATATATATTAAAGAAAGATCTAATTGCTATTTGATACAGTGAATTAAGTGGAAGCATGCGATTTGAAACCTCCATAAATAAAAGCCTACATAGATTTCCAATGCACAGAAACAATGGATTGATAAAACAAGTACTTCGCTAGTAGTGGAAGATACATGTTGTTGCTGCTGTAGCGGTAGATACATTATTCGCATACGTGGAAGCGGCAACAGAAGCAAACACAAGTGTGAAAATCCACCAGTTTAGCAGTCCAAACACCAGTGAAAATCAAGGATCGTCATTTGTTTTACATTTGCCATGAAGAATTTGTATTGCAGAGGCTGGAGTCTCTGTCAAAACTTGAATTTAGATAAACCCAGCTTTATATATTTAAGTTCCTGCATCACAACTATTATCTCTGTTTATATCTTACAGTATGTACACAAATATGAACTCCACAAGCAAAAGAACTCTGAATCTGACATAGCAGCTGCTATCAAACAAACCACAGGCTTTTGGTATTATTACATGTGCGTCCTTCAATCGCCGTTTGTTCCCGACCAGTTCCGATATGGCTTTCATCGGGACAATAATACTCTCGAGCAAAGAATAATGGGAACGGTATGCAAAAACCATTGTATGCAGTACCCGAACTGAACATCACTTTGAAGTTGGTTGTCATTGATTTTATTTTCACTGCTTCTCCATTTCTATATCATACGATGAAAGCAGCTGCCTCTGCATCAATAATCAACTATCAATTTGAGATGAAGACTACCTGTTCCTCTCAAAGATAAGAGAAGAGGGGGGAAATGCGCAAGACAAGTAACAATACACATGTAGGGGGGATGACCTTTATATGCAAAATACTTTTCCCATATGAAACTGATGCATCTAATACAGCATCCTAGCACTTCCCTGAACCCAAACACAAATTTCTTATAAATCAAGCAAATATTTTTTTTTTAAAAAGCCACTCTGGGCTGGAACGATACCAGAAAAGCTTATACAGTGGTAATTGGAATATTGACAGAAAAGTCACCAGGAGGTTCATGCTTCTGGAACAAGTCATCATAAGGAAGTGCAAGTCCCAAGACAAGTGTGAGTATGTTGTATATGAAGAAATAGGCATAACATGATGAAATGAGTATGAGGGGCAAGTTAGTCAATACCAATAATAGATATTTGTTAGGCAAGTTTGTTAGTACAGTTAGTAGAAGTTAGTTACAGTTTGTTAGATGATGCTGTATATATACAGAATAATGTACCAATACAATGTATCAGTTTTCACTCATTTTCTTTGAATAAAAGTTCTCTCTCTTTTCTTCTTAGCAGAGCTTTCTCTAATGGCTATCAATGGAAGTCTAGTGAATTGAGTGTTAACTGTTCATAGAATTTATCATGGTATCAGAGCGTATGACCACTATTGTGAGTTCGAATCGATTGTTTTAGATAGAGGAGCATTGTAATTGGAAGATAAGTGAGATTGATGAAGCAGAATAGTAATGGCAGCCACGAAGATCGACCATACACATGCACTCTTCATTCATCCTTCAGATACAACTGGAGGTCCAATTGTTCCTATCCAATTAACAGGATCTGAAAATTACTCGATCTGGAGCAGGTCAATGCGAATCCAATTGCTTGGAAAGAACAAGCTGGGGATTGTGGATGGAACCTAGAAGAAAGAGGATTTTTCTTCAGATTTAGCTCACCAATGGGATAGATGTGATGCCGTTGTGATTGGATGGATACTGGGATCAGTGACAAAGGAACTACATGCAGGGATTGTCTATGCAGAAAATGCGAAGATGATTTGGGAAGATCTTTAGGAGATGTTTGATAAAGTGAACACTTCGCGAGTCTACCAACTGCATAAAGATATGGTAACTTTGATTCAAGGAACTGATAATGTGTCAACTTATTTCTCAAAACTGAGACATTTCTGGGCAGAATTTGATAGCATGACACCACCTCCTTGTGATTGTGCTAAATCCAAGGATTTTATGCTGCATATACAGAGATTAAAGGTGATGCAATTCCTTATGGGACTGAATGAGAACTATGAACAAGCTAGGAGCCAAATACTGATGACTAGTCCAACTCCTAATATCAATAAGGCCTACTCCATGCTGATCGAAAGAGAGAGTCAAAGGTCGATTGTCAATTCAGGAGACAGAGTTGAATTAGGAGCCATGATGGCAGGGAGAGGAAACTCTTATCACAGACCGCCAAAGAATTGGAATCTTCAATGTGATCACTGTAAGCTTAAAGGTCACACAAAGGATGTATGCTACAGATTGGTTGGATACCCACCAGGATATAAAGGAAAGAAGAAGGAAGAGTTCTCTAATGCAAACAATGTTCGAAATGAAGACACTGGTGCACATAGGTATCAAGGAGAAGCTATTGCCTATAATGCTCAAACTGAAAATATACATCCAAATGTGTGTGCAGGGTACAAGACTGAATGTTCAACTGGAAAAGGAGATCTTCAAAGAGCACCATACATGACTGAGAACCAACAAGACAAGATCAAAATGATGCTTGACAATGATAAGCAACCAGATTACATGGCTCATATGGCAGGTATTGACTTCAAACCTTTATCCACAGTAAAGCAGATAAAGTGGATAATAGACACAGGAGCTACAAATCATATGACTGCTAGTTTAGATACAATGACTGGCATAGAACATGTAAGAACACATCATAAAAGGAAGGTCCATTTGCCTAATGGTGAAGTGACAATGGTGTCTCACACAGGAAAGTGCAGTTTGGGAGATATAGGAGTACTTGAAAATGTTCTGTACATACCTGATTTTAAGTATAATCTTTTATCAGTATCAAAGATAACTAAGGAGCTCAATTGTTTTGTCTCTTTTTATCCTGGTTTCTGCTTGTTCCAGGACCTTACCAGTGGGATCTTGAAGGGGATTGGTAAGGAGAGTGCTGGTTTATACATAATGTTCTCACCACAACATGACACACATTTCAGTGCTGATTCGAATGCAGAGGTTCACAGAGCTCATGTTGCAAAGAAGAAACATGAAGATATACTGTTGTGGCATAGAAGGCTTGCCCATCCTTCTAGTGTTTCCATGAAGCATTTGCTTGGTTATAAACTAGATGAGTGTAAATCAATTGTAGCTGATTGTGAAGTGTGTCCTCTAGCTAAGCACACTAGACTTTCATTTCCTCATTCTTTCATTTCCTCATTCTACTAGTACTTCTGTTAAAGTGTTTGAACTGTTGCACCTAGATGTTTGGGGAACATATCATGCTGAAACTTTTGATGGGAATAAACATTTTCTGACTATAGTTGATGACTTCTCTCATGTTACCTGGATTTTTCTGTTAAAGTTTAAAAGTGATGTTATATTAATTTCTCAAACTGATACACACTCAATTCCAGGCTACTGTTCAAATGATTAGAACAGATAATGGTGGTGAATTTGTGAATTCTGAGATGCAACAATTCCTTCAAGAACTTGGTATTATCCATCAGACCACTTGTGTCTATACCCCTCAGCAGAATGGTGTAGGTGAGAGGAAGCATAGACATTTACTCGAAGTAGCTAGAGCCCTTAGATTTCAAGGACATGTTCCTATCAGATTCTGGGGTCATTGCATTCTAACTGCAGCTTATGTTATTAATAGATTACCATCAACCGTCCTTGGTGGTAAATCCCCTTATGAATTGTTTTTTGGAAAGCCACCTTCAGGTACTCATCTAAGAACTTTTGGATGTCTGTGCTATGCTAGTGCTTTGCCTAGAAAGGATAAATTTGCTTCTAGAGCAGTGCCTTCTGTGTTCATGGGCTACTCTACTACTACCAAAGGATATATTTTATTTGATGTTGCACAGAAAAGATTTTTTGTCAATAAGGATGTCACTTTCAGGGAACATGTCTTTCCTTTTCAGTCATCTCCTGAGCCTGTCCCCCAGGTTGATCAGTTTCTTTGGTCTTCTGAATCATTCCCTCCTAGTGACATTTCCTCTATTGATGACCCTCTTCACACTGTCACTGTTAATGATCCTGCAAGTCCACTGCCTACACAGTCTTCTAGTTCACCACATCCTTCTCCATCTCCTGTTGTTTCCACTGCATCTCCAGATACAACCTTGCCTGTCTCCATTCCTTCTCCACCCAGGAGGTCACAAAGAGTATCTAAGGCACCCCTTTGGCTTGTTGATTATGTCACCAAAAAGGCTGCTCATGTTACTTATCCACTCAGTGCCCATCTCTCCTATGCAACTCTTTCACCAGCTTATCAGGTGTTTCTCAGTTCTCTATCTCATATACAGGAGCCTAGGTCCTATCATGAGGCTATTAAGGATAACAGGTGGGTTGATGCCATGAATTCTGAGTTGGAGGCTCTTCAGCTCAACCATACTTGGGATTTGGTCCCCTTACCTCCAGGCAAAATGGCTATTGGTTGTCGATGGGTGTATAAGGTTAAGTTGCAGGCTTCTGGTGAGGTGGAGAGATTCAAAGCCAGGCTGGTGGCTAAGGGGTATAATCAGCAGGAAGGTCTAGACTACCATGAAACATTTTCTCCAGTGGTCAAGATTGCCACTGTGAGAATTGTTCTGTCACTGGCTGCTCAACATAACTGGCATATTCATCAGCTGGATGTTTATAATGCTTTCCTTCAAGGTGATTTAGATGATGAGGTGTACATGCAGCTTCCTCAGGGATTACCAAGTCAGGGGGAGTCTAGTGGCACTGTTTGTAGACTTGTTAAATCCCTGTATGGGTTAAAACAGGCCAGCAGACAGTGGAACTTGAAATTATCTGATGCATTGGTCCATTCAGGTTTTGTTCAAAGTTGTATGGATTACTCATTGTTCATAAGGAAGAAAGGGAATGATATTGTCATTGTTTTGGTCTATGTGGATGATATGTTGGTAACAGGTAGCAGCAGTATCTCTGCTATTGAGGAAACCAAAGCATCCTTACATGAACCCTTCAAGATCAAAGACTTAGGAACACTAAAGTTCTTTCTTGGAATGGAGTTTCACAGATCTTCTAAAGGTATTCTGATAAACCAGAGGAAGTATGTTCAAGAAATCATTTCAGAACTGGGGATAGGATCTGTCAAACCAGCATGGACTCCACTAGAGGTTAATGCAAAGCTAACAACACCAGAACTTGATGAGTTGACACAAAAAACAGATGATGACATGTTAGAAGACAAGACAAAGTATCAAAGGTTAATTGGGAAGATGTTATATTTGACACTTACAAGACCTGACATAAGCTATGCAGTACAAACACTTAGTCAATTTTTACAACAACCTAAACAATCTCACTGGGATGCAGCAGTTAGGGTCATGAAGTATATCAAAAGAGAGCCAGCTCTAGGTATATTGTTGAGTAGCAAGGCCTCCAATTCACTGACAGTCTTCTGTGATTCAGACTGGGCTTCTTGCCCAAACACAAGAAGGTCAGTCTCAGGTTTTGTGATCAAACATGGGAGCTCACTGATTTCTTGGAAATCAAAGAAACAAAGTGTGGTGTCCAGGAGTTCAGCAGAAGCTGAATACAGGAGCATGGCAAATGCTGTTTCTGAAGTAGTGTGGCTGACTGCTTTGTTGAAAGAATTGGATGGCGAGATAATAACTCCTGTAATTGTGCACAGTGATAGCAAAGCTGCATTGCAAATTGCAGCAAATCCTGTTTTTCACGAACGTACTAAACATATTGAGATAGATTGCCATTTCATCAGGCAAAAAATTCAAGAGGGGCTGATCAAGACAGTGCATGTAGGTTCCAAAGATCAATTGGCAGATGTGTTGACTAAAGGTTTGCCACGACCACAACATGAATTCCTAGTAGGCAAGCTAGGCATGTTGAATATCTTCATACCAGCCAGCTTGAGGGGGAGTGAAGAAATAGGCATAACATGATGAAATGAGTATGAGGGGCAAGTTAGTCAATACCAATAATAGATATTTGTTAGGCAAGTTTGTTAGTACAGTTAGTAGAAGTTAGTTACAGTTTGTTAGATGATGCTGTATATATACAGAATGATGTACCAATACAATGTATCAGTTTTCACTCATTTTCTTTGAATAAAAGTTCTCTCTCTCTTTTCTTCTTAGCAGAGCTTTCTCTAATGGCTATCAATGGAAGTCTAGTGAATTGAGTGTTAACTGTTCATAGAATTTATCAGTATAGTAACGAGACGCAGTGCTGTAGGTACGAGAAAATGACCAAAATGGTCCTTAATGTATGGAAGTTGAATAGATATTTGTGTGACTATAAATCATTAAATTACTGGTAAAATGGGAAGTTTAAAGTTAAACTGTTACTAAATATAAAAAAAAAGGTGTCGTTCTTTTTTGGACTAGCTAAAAAGGAAGAGTAGTGCATAAATTGGGACAGAGGACGTACCACTTAACGTATGCAAAAACTGAAAACCTCTATTCTAAATCATAAAACTGCCGACTCCTTTACAAAATTCGGTTGAACTTAACTGTGAAAATCACGCTTCACAATGACCAGAAAAGGCTGAAACAGTTAAATCTAAAGAGGGCGCATTAACATAAGAAATTATTGAGCAGTCATCAGAGGTGTGGTGCTGTCAAAACAATCACCAGAAAAAAGCTGAAACAGAAAATCAAATCTACTGGAACAGGGAAAGAATGAAAGTTTTTGACCGAGTGGGTTACATATACAGCATAAAGCAGCTTGTCAGTAAACGGAAATGACGCAAATCCATAGAGGTCTTCTACCAGTGAGAAGGAAGAGAATCCGAGAATGTGAGACCAGTATCTTTACGCCTAGAAATTCTTAAAGATGATTTATGCAATACATGTATACTTCACTTTGACATGGAACAATATAGCTATCCTAAGATTCTAATATTCCAACATTCTACCAATTCCCTCTCCCCAATCTCAAAAACCAACCTCCGCTCTCCAGCCTCCCCAACTATCTAACCTCCACATTCGTGCTCTTTGCCCTCCTGGGTCAGCACCAAGAGGTAAAAGAAGAACTGCAGTCCTCTGCCTTAACACTCGGCCATGTCGTCAAAATGCTACAAATACAAAATACATGAAAACAATAGCTGCAGATTTCACTAATTTCAGACCAACCACGCCAAATGGCAAAAGAACCAGCAGAAGCTATATCCAACCAAAAGCTTAGGTAAACATTCAAAAGCCATCAGAAATCAGAATGCGAAAAACATATTGTACTTACATGATGCTCAAAATCAGGGCTCGTAAGGTTGATAGAGAGGTTTCTCATCAGCAATAACACCTGCACAAGAATAGAGCAGAAAATTTATCTAAATCTCGAATTAAATGCTTGAGGCACCAACTCCAATGAGGAGCATACGACTAATCTCTTTTAGATGGTAAACATGATTTAAGATAACTGAAAACATATACCTACATGTGTATGGTGAATTTAAGGGCAAAGACCTGGGTGGGGTATGGGAAGGGATCAGCGTATTGTGGAATTAGTTATCGGATGCATTCTATAGTTGAAGACATCCTTTATTGCCATATGCAATGGTGCAAATTCTAATTACCAGATTCAAGTGTTGCTAAATTTCTATTCTTCCTTCAAAGTGTAGCATCCAGATTGAATGCCCACAGGTCACATACATGTTAACAACACACTATAGCAAGTATTCACTAAGCAAATGAAAATTGAACATTATATTTTAGGGAGAAGGGACGGATTTACCCCCGAACTTTAATAAATGGTACGTCTATGCCCTCCGTTATACTTTCCGTCCACATAAGCCCCTGCCGTCCAATTATAGGTACACATATACCCCTCTCACTAATGGACCCATAATTTCTTACACGTGTCTTAATCCTATTGAACTACCCGTTTGACCCTTTTTTTAACCCATAACCCAACTATCCGCCCCATAACCCAATACCCACCCAATTTCCTCTAAAAGGAATCCTAATTAAAAGACCCAGAATATGATGTTGAAATTGTTGGTGGTGGTGCTGATGATGCCGGTGTTTCAACAAACACCTCATACTCCTCCTTCAGCGACTCACACCTATACCCATAATCATACCCATATTCCTCAGCGGCTTGTAGCTCAACCCTGGCTGCCTCCTCTGAAGCCAAAACCAACAACCTCTTGATCTCATCCCTCCTCGCCACCGAACGCCTCCATTTCCGTCTAACCATAAAACCTGACACTGGTCCAAAAACCGCCATGAACGCTGCCACCACCAAGCTCGAGAGAAACCCTAGATCCCCTCCCACGAGCATTTACACAAACCCACAAACAACAACAGATCACATCCAAACCCTAATCCTTCCAAATTCATAGAGCTCTATACCACCCCTCCACCAATCACGATGTTGAAAATACTCCACCACACAAAGATCAAAACTTTGCATGCACACAGAATTCAATCAACCAAAATTGTGGAGAAATCGAGAGAGGAAAGTGCAATAAAGTCACTGGAAGAGAGAAGATTCAGACCCAAAGAGAATTTTTTTTCTCCTAGAACGAGAATTTAGGGGATTTTTTAAAGTTTGAAGTTTAGGGGAAAATTGAAAAAGGAAACTAAATAATAAGATATATCTTAGAGGAAATTGGGTGGGTATTGGGTTTATGGGGCGGGTAGTTGGTTTATGGGTTAAAAAGAAAGGTCAAACGGGTAGTTGATTAGATTTAAAACACGTGTAAAAAATGAGGGGGCCGTTAGTGAGAGGGGTATGGGTGTACCTATAATTGGACGGCAGGGGCTTATGTGGACGGAAAGTATAACGGAGGGCATAGACGTACCATTTATTAAAGTTCGGGGGTAAATCCGTCCCTTCTCCTATATTTTATGACAATCATAAATTCACTACTCCTACCTTTTGCAGGGATACAAAGGAGTAAAGTCAGCCCCTATATCCTTCCCCCCGTTATCTATCTTAAGAGAGGAATTACTCATAGCAATTTGAAGAAATTTCCAACCCATCCCTTCCCTTCCTAAGTCAATGCCAGGAAGAAGACATTAAAATTTGATGAGAAAGGCGTTTGTTGACTAGAGGATGAGAACAATCCTCCGTGTATGCAGTGGCATAGAAATAGGAAGCATTAGTCCTTAAGAAAATACAATAATTGAAGATCAGGAGACACCTTCTTTACAGAAGCTTTATCTTTGAAAGTACTCCTGAAGACAAAGTTCAAGTTGTATAGGCAAACAAGACCAGAAAGAGGATTAAGCGACAGGATAATGAAACAGCACAGAATAGAGTGTATACCGTCTCGACATCAATCCGGTCCATTTTTTTCAATTTCTGCAAGTGTCCAGTTACAGCAGGGTCAAATACACTGCCGATGAAATTGTATACTTGAGCAAAGTCTGGCAAAACTGCAGATACAAAAAGAATTTACAGCAGCATTAGCGTAGTAAATATCAAACTAAAGCACCAGCTCTATTTAAAATAACATCTAAATTAGAAGAAAATTTTGATTCTATATTACGGAAAAAAAAAACTTTAATTCTGCAGAATGACGCCAATACTATCAGTGAATAGAGCGAAGGATAACATGGCATAGAGTAAACCAGATCTAGATCTAGCTAGCATCAAATCAGGCTATGCCACGAAGTCATCAAATGCAGCAAGGACCATAGCTGCAGATAAAATGTTTTTTTTTTAAAAAAAAATGCAAAGAAAAAGAACCGACTGGAAATCATATTTGGCCATCCAAAGATAAATCACCAACATTGGAGAAAATTCTGGACAAAAACTGCAAACTATAGTTCAAGAAAAACTATACGTTTCACCAACAATAATTAATTATCACATGATTTTCTGGATCACAACTGACAAGAAGCACAGAGCCACAGATTCATCGAACATAATCAGAAACACACGTAAGGACGAATAAAAAGCAGCATGTCATCTTGCTCATTCAGAAGTCAGAATAATAATGAGGACTTTGCAACTGCAGATTTTTATCAATTAACAAAGAGATATTAAGGCCTGTGATTTTCACAAACAAAATGGAGGGACAGGTTACAGGCTGGAACAAAACGAAGCAGTCCACTGGATAAAAGAGAAGGCACTCTTCAATGGGCCAAGGAAAAGAGGATAGGATGGTGATAACTTATGTAAACTATATACAGAGAATATAGCTTAGTTGATTTGACAGTGCAAGCATAATAACACTGATTGAAGCTGAGAACTTGAAGAAGAGCTTTATAAGAAGGGAGATGAAGATATTCTGTATCTCGACTACAATTGGAATCATGATTAACTGCAATTCGGCAAGGTGACTAGTTTTAAGATCTACTATACAGCTTTATCACCCTTCGCAGGAAATAGTGGTTGGTGAACAAAACAAGACTTGTCCAATCGCATATTGATTCCTTAATCCTTACCAAGAGTTTCAGCAATTAGATCTTGATTTTTAAGAGAAGTGAACTCTTTTGACCCGACAGGATTGAGATTTCAAAGCTCGAAAAAAGATTGCAAATCATTTGACAAGAATAAAGGAAAAACGCAAGGCGAATCCAACTTCTGGGATGATCTTATCATATGGAAAGATGCTGCTTAACGTCATTCTCTTCCAAGTGTGTCTGTACTTGTCTTGTCACATATATTAAGGTCAATCTACCTTTAGGACTTTATCCCATCTCTTTTACTTTCCAATTTGCAATATTTTGGCCAAGTTAAGAACTTAGTGCTACAAGTAGGAGTCTTGTGAAACAAGCTTGGATAGAAATTGATGAGAGAAACATTGTCAAAGCTCTGTGTACAGCTTGTCGTCTAAGCTCCACCTGGTCACTAAGTAACTCTCCTATAAAAGCCATACGTATCAAAATGTTTTTATTAACCTTGACCCTTTTCAGTAAAAAGAAATTGAATGTGTGTTGTGAAGGTCTCAAAGCAAATCCGCCTTTCTTCTTCCTTTGTGCATTGGAACAATGGAATTGACCATCATAAACATAGTTCACATGCTTTATTACTTTTATGTTTGGTGTAAATTAGTATTTAGTTCAAATCTGTGATGTGCACCTAATTCACATATCATGCGCCTGTTCTTACCAATTACCACCAGACCAAAGCCTGGGTGGTGCAGAACCATAATGGAATGTTATTGTAGGATAATAGTTTCACAGCCCAAATTGTTGTCTAATTTCAAGTCTAAAAAGTCAAAATGATAGGCATCTCCAGAATATCGACTTACCTCTCATTGAGGGTACTTGGGTCCGCTCCATCACCCTAACTGTTGATTTTGATCTTGGAGTGCTTTCATTACTACTGCAGCAACGGTTATTGGTGACTGGCTGACCTGTTTCTCTCACGTTATCTGTCAGAAGAACAGTCAATTACTTCAGTTCAAAGCCCAAGATGCCATAGAAGTGAGATTACAGTATCTAACCAAAAGAGAACCCGTAATAACTAAACCTTTCTTCATTTGCGACGAACTAACTGGTGGCACAGAGTTGTCAGTCCATGACGGCACAGACATAACAGTAGCTGGATTGCAAGGCAACAAAGAAGAATCAGGCCTTTTTACAATTCCAGGTTCCGGTAACGGAAGGGAAGCTTGAAAAGATGTAGGCACCGGTGAGACAGCTGGAGCTGCCGAGATTTCAGAAAGCAAATACAATTATTTCCATGTATAGCTGATGTTAATAAAATTAAAGCACAAAAAATAATTCCTACCACTTTTTGTGGCTTTCTGTGGATAGGGATGCGCAGCTTTTCTTTTTGGCCGAGGAGGAGGAAGATGTTCAGTCGTTCCACTTTTCTGGACTTTCAGAAAATATTTCTGAGCATGGCTACGTATCTGCATAAGTGATCAAACTTTTTAAGACACCTCTGGGCACATCTCCAAAGATTGATGTATAACCAAATAAAAGCAATCCATTTGGTTCAGTTCTGCTCAATTTGTTTTAGGTTTATGATGTGCATAGCACACACCACCGGATTCAGTTGTGTGATTCATTTTTTTCAGTTTGGGCCGTGAATCGAGCTTTTGTTAGGACCTCGTATTTTGGTTATTGAGACTCTAATTAATTAATAAACAATATGCTCAATTTAAGTTTGAAAGGCTATTGGGTAACAGTGCAACATATAGTTGGCTTCCTTGACGAGTCAAAGGTGCAACCTGTGTTTCTGCAAAAATATAAAAGTTTCATCTGAATACCCTGCTTCTCAAAAAATAACAAATTGAAGGAAAGCTATGCCCAACTTCATAGCTTCTCCAACAGATCAAAGTCAAAATATTGATACAGACATGACAGAAAAACTTATGGAAATAGAAGGGAGGGCAAAAGAAATATGTGACTGAGTGAAAGAGAGATAAAAATCAATTGGATCTTGTCCCAGCCTAGGGAAGAAAAATAAATAAATAAACGGAGGAAAAAATGCAAGAAGATACATACTAAAACTTCATCTACCGGCCTTTTACTTGTGCCATTTGGACACGACAGAAAATCAATTTACATAGACAGGTGAACAGTAAATATCATCAGATATAAAAGCAGATGAATAGCTGGGAGGTTCTGAGATACCAGGCCTTTGTTGGTGGCAATTTGGAGAGCTAAAGAAGTGAGAAATCTGCTCCTTGTGATATATCTGATCTGCTCATTCCAACAATAAATCTAGCCTCTTTTGGACGATATGAACAAATTGAAGCAAAAGGGAGAAACTGGAAGAAAAAACAAAGGGATGGAAAAGAAAGGCTCACCGAGATAGGAGAGTAAGTAGAAGTGAACCCTAACTCTCCGTACACCCATAACTTTTGCTTTTCGGTTTGAAAATTGAATTACAAAACGAACCAAATAAACCAAAAATTTTGGTGTAGTCAGTTCCCCGACTTAAACCAAATAAAGCACATTTCAGAAACTTATATTAGAAAAAGTTACTTTAGTACTTTGAGTTTTTCAAGTAAACAAACATAGTCAAAGGCCACAAAGACTTTAGCAAGTGTTTTTTACTAGAGCTAACAATGACTTTTACTTTCTCAAAAGAAAGTCCTCGTTACTAGACCAGTAGAGGAAGCCAAAAATTTCCAATGTGGATTGAAAAGGAAGTTGGGGATGGACATAGATCCTTCTGCCTATAGGAGTGTTGTAAATATTGCAATGTTTTTTTGTACTTATTTCCCGGTCATTATATAATCCTGATGACAAGTGACTCCACCCGCAGAATAGAAAAGCAAAACCAATTCTAACTCCAAAACAAAAACTCTTGCCACAAGTATAAAGATAAGCACGGAGATCCTAATCCTAAGCAGTTACAAGTACTCGAAACAACAAAAATGTTTAGTCACTTTGCTATCCATTTTACCCACGAAAACTAGCAAATTCAGGGATGATAGTTGATCATGTGTGCCATCAACTCCCTATTACTCATACATGTAGTAACATTCCCACATGCTTATCTTTGTGACACGAACCCCCATCTTGTGATTGGGATTTTACCACTAGGTTATTCCTCAGTTGTCAACTATATGCCATGTTATATTCGCAAAATTAACAATTAGACAAGAAATAGTTAACTTGGTGGTAGTTGCTTGTTAGTCGGTTGTCATATAATAGAGAGAGAGAGAAACCTAAATTTGCAAAATAAAATGATGGTTCAGAGAAAAGAATAGGTACTTAATAAGATGTGCACATTTTAGGCTAACCTTAATATTACCTGAATAACAGTTTTTGATCCGACAAATGCTTCAATCTTTTTCCAGTCACGGTCAAAGCTGTATGTTAACAAAATGAGCAATCAGTAACAAGAAAAATCTTAACTCAAAGGAGACATCTTAATGTTCTTTTATCCTAGAACTGAACACAGTGACAATAAACAAAGTAATCAAGTTCGGTAAAATGAAGCTATTTCTTCAGCAGAATGAGATCAACAACTTCCAAAACAATGTTGAGATATAAAATAAAAAAAAGGAAAAAAAGGTAACTATAGAACTCCCTTAAACCATTTGCTGTTCTTCAAAAGATAATAATATAGTGGAAAATTGGCCGACCCCACTAAATTTGGGATTTATGGGTAGTTGATATATGTGAATTAACACAAGATGCAGAAGAAACAATATGTTGAAGTACACATTTCTTGAACTCGTAAAGAAACAAACTTGTATAACAGCGAATCCCAGAACTCCTTAATTTCATTCGCGAGCAATCTAGTTAACCTAGAAGTAGACGAGCAACGACAATGATTCGAAATTCACAAAAACAATCTTCCCGTCTTACAACTCAAATTAAATCATTAGCCCTAAATCACAATGAATTAGCAGTAGAAATTGTTCCAAAATTCAGAACTCACAGCTGAAGAGCTTCGAGGAACTTATCATGCTCGGGTTCGGTCCAGCTTTCTCGCGACTTGGTAATAGTGTAGGGTTTTCGAATTTTCTTTGACAGGTCATCGGAAGGAGACAACGGGTTGGATGTGGACGGCGTTGCGGCGGCAGAAGCGGTGGCTGTTGGGTTGGAGAAGGAGCCGAGATTAGGAAGGGCCATGACCATCCGATTCAAGTAGAAAAAAATGTGGGTGGGTTTGGGTTTGGGTTCATGTGATGTTTTAGTGTCTGCCAAACATAAAATGTTGATTTCTTTCAATTTCCCTTTTTTTTTCTTTATCCTCTTTTTTATATATATTTTTCTTTTTGTCTTTGGCAAACAAAAACAAATGCGTGAAACCAAATTGGATTATTTTTAGCTAATAAAAAATAACTAGTAAGTGTTGAAAGATATTGTCAAAAGTGTTGAAATAGATTTTAAAAGTAGGAGTATATATTAGGAGGAAATGTTGAAATGGATAATAATTTGTCATGTACTTGATAAATAAAATGTTAGATAAGATTTTTTTTCTCTGAAAATAATTTAAAATATAGAATATAAATATTTTTAAAAATCTAAATGTGCTATGAAATAATTAGCTTGTCGATATTTATTACTTTAGACGTAAACCTTTCACTACTTTTTAGTTATGATGATGTTAACTCCCACACTTTCATAACTTTCTTCTATGAATTTTTCACACAATCATCATAATTAATGTCATGTTTATGACAATCTTTTGTATGTCTATGTAATATTACAAAAAAATAGCATCAGAGTTCATATTGTACTCACTTGAGAATCACTTAAACTCTTAAAGAATAAGAAAAGTTCTTTATCTCTTGCCTCTTTATTTTATTGTTTTCATGCTTTGATAATTTCTACTAACTTTTTTAGACTAATTTTGTCACATGTTACTTGTCAAGCTGGCCAAAATTTTGTTGATGTTATGCTTTGCTAAATACTACTATCATTTTTGTTGTCGTCTTTTTTTTTATTAATTAGTTTATATAAAGGATGAATCTCGATCAATTTTTGCTTATTATGCTAATGGTTGAGAAAAAGACGGCTGATTCAAATCTAATCATATCAAGTAGATAAGATACTAGGTTAGTGACTCGGTGCATGTGATAATAAGATATTATATTTAAGTCCCAACGATTTACAGATTAAGATGCCTTCATATGGTAAAATGTTGGCTTTAAATTCTAATGCACAATAATAATAGTAAAATGATGGTCAAGGCAAAATAGATTTTTGTTGAAAAGTCATGATACATGTTCTACTAAATTTGCTCCACTTCCATAAGTAAATGTGATACTAGTATGTGATAAGTCGGAAAGATGATAAAATAATTATTTTGATTAAAGAAATGACGTGCCCGTGGCAAATGACAAAATAATGTTAATCATCATTGTATTAATAAAAGAAAGAATACTATGTGTTTTCCGAATGGTCTTTCAAATAGTGAAAATAGTTACTATTATGATTTGGTACAAAAGGTCATTTGCCACGCAAAATTCATGCACTTAATTTTATAGATTTTATAAATCTTTTATTAATTATTTTTAAAAATAATGGGCATTTAACCTTTGAAAATGATATTGAGGCAGGTCATAACAATAATCTTTGAAATTATTCTTTTAGAAAATTAGAAAATACGAGCAAAATTATAAATTGAGAACAAATAGAAATTATGTCTCAAATTTGACTTCTTCAACTCAATGGCTCAAATTTATCCCTTCTTTCATCTATTGGGTCTAAAAAATTCCTAACCTATAAGCAATGATTCAATTTTGTCATCTTCTACCTAGAAATATGTCTATCAAAGATTAAAAATTAGTTAATATATTTTTCGCCCGATTTTAAAATATCTTATTAGAATTGAAAAATAAATATTTTTATTCTATCAAAAAAAGCTTTTTAGCCTTCAAATTCAAATAAATTATGTCTCAATTTTTTAACTCATCTCACTATTATTAGCATCTTTAGTTATATATCTCTCCTTCTTTTTTTTCATTACTTAACAATTTAAAACTTTTAAAATACTATGATTTTTTATAATTTTTGTTAAGTGATAATATATTTATCTTTCTTAAAAAGCACTTTGAAATAAAAAATTCTCAACAAAAATTTATTATTTTTGTGGGCACACACGCATAATGAAATTCCTCATTCTTATGATTAAGATAATATGTTTAAACAATATACATGAGTTCACACGTTAGCTCGTATATTTTGTTTATTTAAAGCAAGTACTTCTATTAAGTAAGACAAGCATTTAGACAAATGGTCAAGAAGTTTCCGATTTTTTTTATTACAAATCAAAAGGAAAGTAATAAATAATCGTAAAAGTGCAGTAAATTTTTTTATTGATATATATAATTAGAATTAGAAAATATTTTAAGTCATTTTTAATATGTTAAGTAGCGATGGCAATGGAGCGGAGTGGGGTAAATCCGCATGAACCCGCAAAGACTTTACCACGCCCCGCTTTGCCCTACATAGCACAATTTTTTTTATTTGTGTTCCGCCCTGCCCCGCTCCGCTCACATGAACCCGACCCGCATAATTCATAATTTTTTGAATTAAAAGAAATGTAATAGTTATCAATAGTTACCGCTAATATTCAAAGAATAGTATATATTGTTGAAGAAGAAGGAAACTGGCGATTGGAACATGTCAAAGGAACAGGTTCAACGAATTTATATTTGCATTATTATTACTATATAGTAGTAATAGGTATTGTAGTAAGTTTCTAAGTATAGATAACTTAGGATTCTACAATTCTCTCCCTATATAATTAGTATGTACTTAACAATTTTAATCATCAATACAATCCTTGATTTATTAAAGAAGAAGGAAGCTGGCGATTGGAACATGTCAAAGGAACAGGCCCAACGAAGCTGACTGACGTGTCTACAACAAGTGTTGATGAAGAAGGAAGCTGACAATTGAAACATGTCAAAGGAACAGGTCCAACGAAGCAGACTAACGAGTTTACAACACTACTGTAGAATTAGAGTCGCACTAGGATTAAACTACTTATATTAATTAGGATTATATTATGACTAGGATTAGATTACGATTAGGATTATAGTCCAACTAAGATTAGATTATTTATCATTGTTCCAATCGTCAGATTCCTTCTTCATCAACACTTGTTGTAGACACGTCAGTCAGCTACGTTGGACCTGTTCCTTTGACATGTTCCAATCGCCAGCTTCCTTCTTCTTTAATAAATCAAGGATTGTATTGATGATTAAAATTGTTAAGTACATACTAATTATATAGGGAGAGAATTGTAGAATCCTAAGTTATCTATACTTAGAAACTTACTACAATACCTATTACTACTATAATAATAAAACAATTATAAATAATCTAATTTTAGTTGGACTATAATCCTAATCGTAATCTAATCCTTGTCATAATATAATTCTAATTAATATAAGTAGTCTAATCCTAGTGCGACTCTAATTCTACAGCGTTGTTGTAAACTCGTCAGTCAACTTCGTTGGACATGATCCAATCGTCAACTTCCTTCTTCATCCACACTTGTTGTAGACACGTCAGTCAGCTTCGTTGGACCTGTTCATTTGACATGTTCCAATCGCCAGCTTCCTTCTTCTTCAACACTTCCCCTCAAGCTAGTGAGTAGAGGAACGATTACTCCTGGCTTGATTCAAATACCCAGCAAAAAAAATACTTTGAATACCCAGCAAAAACTTGTTTTGTCAATGCTTCGATATGAATGTGATGTCTAGTCGTTGCTTATGATAGTTCATCTGCAGATTGATACGAGTAGTTCCACCAGTAAAAACACTTAAGAGTAGTTTGATTATTCCTACCACAGATTTGACATGAGTCAATATTATACCTCTTCTTATTTTCACTTTGGAAACTTTTATTGTTCAGAGAACCTGATCTATATTGACTGTTTTGAGAACCTGTTCTCTGTCCAGCATGCTTGAAACCTGTTTCTCTGGAGTTGATGTTGTTATTTCCTCTTTTCCTACCTTTTTGGGCAGAGAATATCATGTTATATATGGTTTTGTTATGACACGTCTTTTTCATATTCCCTTAAATCAAAACTCGTGAGAGCATAACCAAATTAATTAAGGGTGGGATATGGTGTCTTACCTAATATGACAGTCCTAAAGGTCTTGTATTTTAGACCTAATCTCCTAGCAAAATTAATTACTTTTGTTGCTTGAATATAAGCTTTTTCCAACCATTCCCACGTTTCCTTGGCAGTTGAGCTGCCAATAATTAGGTACATGCTTTCTTCGGTCAAGGTGCATGAGATCCATCTCCTTAGCAACATATTTTTCTCCTTCCAATCATCAATGTTTTCACTATCTTTTACATCCTTCTCAACCGCTACAACTTTCCCAGCAAGTGAAAACAACTACTTTTACTTGATTCATTCTCTGTGATCTTAATCAATTGGGATATTTGTGTCCTCTTTATGTGGTAGTTTGCTGGCTTAAGTTTAATGGAGCAAGTGGCAATGAGTTGGTGAAATGAGGAGGTCGACATAGTGTTGGTAGAAGTCGTCATTGCAATTTAACGTGTGGGTTTTTTTTTTATCAATACTCAGAGAGCGAAAGAGATTTTATGCTCTGATTCCATGTAGAAATCTCACGTAAATATGGAGAAATCAAGGATTGTATTGATGATTAAAATTGTTAAGTACATACTCCTTATATATAGGGAGAGAATAGAGTCATAAGTTAACTATACTTAGAGTCCTACTACAATACCTATTACTACTATAATAATAAAACAATTATAAATAATCTAATCTTAGTTGGACTATAATCCTAAACGTAATCTAATCCTAGTCATAATATAATCCTAATTAATATAAGTAGTCTAATCCTAGTGAGACTCTAATTCTACAACAGTGATGTAAACTCGCCAGTCAGTTTCGTTGGACCTATTCCTTTGACATGTTCCAATCGTCAGCTTCCTTCTTCATCAACACTTGTTGTAGACACGTCAGTCAGCTTCGTTGGACATGTTCCTTTGACATGTTCCAATCGTCAGCTTCCTTCTTCTTCAACATATATATCTTCATTTAAAAGCTAAGTTATAGAATTTCATTAACTGCTAGTTTCATACTGAACTAAGCTAAGAATTGTGTATTAATTTCATTAATTGAACTAGTTATTCTAGTTTCATTAACTGAACTAATTAGCTTTAATTCCTCTTCCATCTTTGTCTTTCTTTTTATACATAGATTTGATTAATTG